TACTACTAATAATAGTAATAATTTGGCGACGGCGACTACTATTACTACTACTACTACTACTACTACTACTACTACTACTACTACTACTACTACTACCTCTTTTACTACTACTACTACTACTACTACTACTACTTGCTGTCCTCCCTCCTTCCACTCCTCATCCCAATTCTTATGTCTCCCCCTTATCCTCTCTCCTTTCATCCTCCACCTTCTCTCGTGCCTCATTCCCTTTGTTCCTTCACCCCCTCAGCACCATCCGAAGTATCATCATATCATCCTCCTCTATGGTGGTGTGGATCCGCTTCCTTTTCTTCGTCCAAAACTCAACATGCTATCCGACATACGCCTGGTCGGTTACCAGAGTATCCGTGTCAAGCATTGGCCAATCGATCAATGTTCATTTCCGTCGTCCTTCTTTATTCCGTCTCCTTGGTCCTTGCTCTTTTCTTGTATGTTGCTTTGCTCAGGGTACCCTTGCGTCTTTGCTTTTCTTTGCTCTTGCTCTTGTGTGTGTGTTTGCTTGTTTTTCCTTGTGTTTTTTTGTGTGGGTGTTCTTTCTGTGATGCTTTTTCCCCACTGACCCGTGCGGCTCGTCCTTGGCCTCTTTCGCTTGCCCGCTTGCCAGGTTACCCTTGGGGTTTTCGTCGTCCGCCGCCCCAGAAATCCCAACTTCGGCTTCCAAGGGTCGCGCGTCCTTACCGCGCGCCCTTCTTAGGGCTTTTGACTGTAGGGCCGCCTGGGAGCGTCAGGAAGCCGAGCGGGCGAGAGCGCCAAAGTCCTTCAAGCACCCGCGGGGGGGATCCGCGACGTCGGCCTCTGGGGGCCACTCTCTGGGGGGGCCCGCCGCGGGGGGGCCGCACCGCAGGCGAAGAACGCCGAGCTCGAGCGCCACGCGGAGGGCGGGGCGAGCCCCAAGGAGCCGCTGTGAAGGCGCACGGGCCCGCGCGCCCCGTCGCGCGTCCCTCGCCTCGGAGGCCTCGGGGGGCGAGGAGGGGCGAGGAGCGAGGAGGAGCGAGGAGGAGGAGGAGGAGGAGGAGGAGGAGGAGGAGGAGCGAGGAGGAGCGAGGAGGATGAGGAGGAGGAGGAGGAGGAGCGAGGAGCGAGGAGCGAGGAGGAGGAGGAGGAGGAGGAGGGCCGAGGAGGAGGAGGAGGAGGAGGGTTGGCACCAGCACCAAGATCGGCGGAGCAGCTCCACCGAGGGGAGATCGTCCCGATCTCGGTGTTGCAGATAGGTGCACGAGTCTTAGGCCTCCCGGATGGTGTCGGAGCAGATAGGGGTCGGAGGATCGCGCCGCATCACCGATACATCGCCGATGCGGATCCATGTGGAGCTCGATTTGCTTCACGTTGACGTCGCCGGCAACGCATCGCTGATGCATGTTGATGCATCGTCGATGTATCGACGACGCGGGGTGATCCTCCGACCCAATCTACTCCGACCCCATCTAGGAGGCCTCTAACAAGCCCGCGCGTATCGTCGCTTGTCCCTCCTGCTGCCTCTTTCTCGGGGGTCTAAACCCCGACCCATCTCGTCGTGAAGCGTAGCGACGGGAGGTCGCCCGCTCGTTTCTGCCTCCAGGGGCCCCCACTTGGCCTCGGGATCCGTCAGAGAGCAGCTCGGGGACGAAAGCATGAGCCCAGGCAAGGGGTCCAGACCTCTGGGGCCCTCGCCATGGAAGACATCACGTCCTGGGGCCCGGGAGCGGGGAGCGGGGCGGTGACCACCCCGTGCAGTGAGAGTCGGCGGGGGCCCCCCGGGCGGCCGCCCGCGTTGTGGCACCTGGGCCGTTCTCCGAGAGCCCCGTGGCCGTGCGGTGGCGCGTCCTGCGGTGAGGCCCCGTGGGGGTGCCCGAGGTGACCGCACGGTCCGTCACCGCAGCGCCTCGGGACGCCATCTTTTACCAGCCTGGAGCATATCCCGATCCCTATGCTGGGCACCTCCTCATCACGATGCCAATCTTAGGGATTCCCTTATTTTTTGAGGGCGGATCCCTAAGATTGTCATCGCCTTTTGGCGTGTCAATCCTAGGGATAGGGACACGTTCGAGGCTGGTAAAGCTTCTCCGTGGGAAGGACAACACACTGGCGCCTCTGCCCTCCATTGCCCCTTCCCCCCCTCTCTGCTCGCCTCCTCGGCCATCGCACTGCATCCAGAGCCCTCGTCGCCGCGGCCGGAATCCAGATCCGCCCTGGAGTCCTGTGGGGAGGTCCCGGGAGCAATGGTAGCGGTATGTGCTCGTTCCGTTCCCATCCTTCCCTTCTCGTCTTCCGTGAGGCATCGTGGGACATCACGATGCCCGTGCTTGTGTGGCACAGGTCCCAGGGTCCCCCTGGGATCTATTCATCTCCAGAAGTGCCGCAGAAGTTGGGCCCAGAACTCGGACCATGTTTTTCGCATGACGTGTGTTGTTCACGGTCTCAGATATCGGGGTTTGATTCCTTCCGCCCTGTCCCCTCAAACTGTCAAAACTGTTTGACCGTCAGCTGCCTTGTCTAGCGCGCTGCACTGCACGTGGAGGAAGAGGAGGATAACGACGAGGGCGAAAACAAACAGACCAGGTCTACCAGACCAGGAGGGAAGAGGAGGAGGGAGGAGACTGGGGACTGGGGAGGGAGGGGATTTGGGTGATCCCCGAGGATTCTAATTATGAACGTTCAGCGGATCTTGCAGACTTCTAGGGGTCGGAGGGATGAGGAGGGGGACGCGGAGGAGGAGGAGGGCCGACGGAGGATCTCGTGTCCTTCGAGGGCTGTTCTCTTCTGGCTTATACAGTGGACACACATGCCAAGAAACATCCTGCTCGTCTCCAGGGTGCCCTGAGTTTCGATGGTTTCGATGGTTTTGCGATGGAGAGCGCGACGCTCCCACACCAAAAATCCATGGACGTCCTGGGGTCTCAGGGTTGGGTTTCTTGTTGGAAGGTTTCTTGTGGACTGACCTCCACTGTGTAGGTTCGATTGTAGCCCTTTCGACGTGCAGAGTAGGAGGAGGAGGTGGAGGAGGAGGCGGAGGAGCAGGAGGACGGGGGGTGGAAGGAGGGGGAGGAGGAGGAGGACGAGGAGGAGGAGGAGTAGGAGGAGGAGGAGGGAGGAGGGGAGGGAGAAGGGGAGGAGGAGGAGGAGGAGGAGGAGGAGGTGGAGGAGGAGGAGGAGGAGGAGGAGGAGGAGGAGGAGGAGGAGCCCGCCGCTTGCCTCCCGCGGCCGAGAGGCGACGGCTGCGCCGGCCCCGCGCCAGAGGCGCGGGAGGCCTTCCCGAGTCCGCCGCGGTGGCACGTCGGGGGGCGCCAGACTTCCGCTCCGTCGGCTCCTCGGCGGTTCAAAGATGGGCCCTGAGGGATGGAGTCCTACACCTTAGGCGATGCTTAAGAAAACTTAAATTTTCGGCCAGAGTCTCGATTATTCGTAACGTTTCAGTGTAAGCCCTAAGATTTGAATGGAAATGTTGGGTTTTTATTCAAGTTCTGAGACTATGAATTTCTTAACCCATGATTTCTTAAGCATTTCGCAGGGTGTAAGGATAGGAAGGGATCCCAGGGTGAGTTCGGGTTGTTTAAACAGCCTCGTCCTCAGGGCCCCATCCCTCAGGACTCCACCTCGGAACCACCGAGGTGCCTCGGTGCTCGGCGGCCTCCCTCGAGGAAGGAGAAAACACGCCATACAAAATACCGTCGAGGCCCTGAAGAAGGAACCCTCTTCGTTGGGGTGGGGCTCCGTGTTCCTCGATTGCTTCACAGTTTGCCTTGGGTTTTCCTTTGGCTTTCGATGGGAAATCGAAGTTCAACTTGTGGATGAAAGGGGCCTCGTTCCTTATCTAGGGTTCCTTGGGTCAACGCTCCGACTGTAAGCGTTTGGCGCTCCGCGCGGATTTCTAGGATCCGCGCTGGGCCTCTCCAGAGGCGCCTCCGGCGCCGCCCCTGACGCGCTCCGCGCGCAGGGGAACGTGGTCCGGCGCGGATCCAAGAAATCCGCGCGGACCTCCAAAAGTTTATTTTTGTGTGGTTTTTCCTGTCGCCGATCTATCGGCGACGTATCGCCGATTCCAGGTTCATGTTTCTCAGGAGGGGAAAAAACACACAGACACGATTAGTCGTCGGTTCCCCAGAAAATACGGTAAAACATGGGAAATGGGGGGGAAGACAAAAAGCCAGAACGTATGGGAGAATCTGGGGAATCCTGTCATCTGTGTGTCTTTATGTGTGTGTCCCAGGGCCCCTTCAGATTCCAGGCGCATGATTCCCCCCCCCTAATGAGGCTCCCCCCCTGCCGCTGCTCCCCAGGCCTGCCGCGGTGCTACGGGCCCTCCGCTCCGGCGGTGCCTCGGAGGTGTCCGGCGGTCTTCGCCAGAGGAAGAGAAAACAAAAACGGTACCGACGCCGCTGAGGTCGCCTTGCCTTTGCTTTGCATCGCTCGGACGTGTGCATTTCTCCTTCGGCGAGGACCATCGAGGAGCATCCTTGATCATTTGGCGAAAAAGCCACGCACGAAACCGAAAAAAAAACACAGGAAATGGACGTCCGAGCGATGGCCAGTTTGAGGGCTCCTTGGATGCCCTCGTCGCCACGGCAGTGCTGGCCTCGGACTTCTCCACAAGGGGCGCCCGTGGAGAAGAGAGTCTCGGGGAGCAGCGGCTTCGGCACCCCGGCCTCCAGGCGCCCCGCGAGGGACAAAAGCACGGCGGGCTCCGCGGATTTTCTCTCCCGGACGTGCTCGGCATCCCGAGGCCGCGTGCGGACCCCGGGGCCAGCAAGATCCCGCCACGAGCCCGGCGGGTGGTAAGGGGGGGAGAGGAGGATGGGGAGGTCCTCCTCCTCCTCCTCCTCCTCCTCCTCCTCCTCCTCCTCCTCCTCCTCCTCCTCCTCCTCCCCCTCCCCCTCCTCCGTCTCCTACCTGTGGTAGCGGTGGAGGAATACAGACCCATCAACTCCGCCCATGGGTGGTAATGGGGGTCAGGAAAGAGGCCCTCAAGGGTTCCTTTTTTGGAGGGGTGGGGGCCCTGCTGGCTCCAGAAGGGGCCCTACAGGGCCCCAGTTCAGGGCCCTTCTCTGCACCCCCCCCCAGGTGGGTCACCCCCCCCCCATCCCAGACCCCCGACGTCATGCTTTTTCATGACGTCGACCCCCAGGGGTCTCGAGCCATGCCCCGGGACCCGTCGTTCATCCGGAGTCGTTTTTTGACGGTCCTGCGGCCCGGTAAGGGTCCCCAGAGGCCGAAAATGTAGAAAAACCCACCGCCATGATTTTCCATTGCTCGAGGTGGTCTGGGGTTACCGCCCGCCCGAACGAAGAGCCGGTTTGGGGGGTGGGGCCGAGAGCCTCGGGGGGGCCCGCGCCGTGAGGAAAATCCTCACAGCTCAGAAGCCAGGCGAAGTCTGGCCAACCCGTGGCTGCTAGAACGGAGAACTCCGGAAACTTGCTTCTCTTCCTTCGGGAGAGCCGCCCGTTGACGATTCCGCGCGCCGAGTTCTGTATTGGGACTGTGTTTTTTTCTTCCGGGAAGACCGCTTTACAGTCAAAAACCCTAATAAGGACGCGCGGCTTTGCTCAGGGTACCCTTGCGTCGTTGCTCTTCCTTGCTCTTGCGTCCTCGAGGTTTTCTTCGCCCGCCGCCCCAGAAATCCCAACTTCGGGTCCCAAGGGTCGTGCGTCCTTGCCGCGCGTCCTTATTATCGGGGGCGGAAAAGAGGGGGGTGATGACTAGGGGGGGTGGATATCATGGCGGGGGCCATGATATTTGCCCAGATTTCATGGCGCCTCTTCTTGTTTCATTACGTCCCTGGCCCCCCAGCTGGGCCGCGCACATGCCGCCGGTCATGATTTGCACCCCCCCCTCTTGGACACCCCCCTCTTGGCCGCTCCCGGTATTAGGGTTTTTGACTGTAGCAGCCACGGAGTTGCTGGCCCTCGCCCCGCCTCCGAGCGGCGTCGGTGCGTCTGCGGGCCCGCGGCGGGCCCGCGGCGCGCGTGGCGGCGCGCCGGCCTTGCTCCGCCGCGGGCGCTCGCAGGGCCTGCACGGCCGCAGGTGGCCCCGGAGCCAGCCAGGCAGGGCTCGACATTGATCGGGGGTGGGCAGATAAAACGACGCGAAGATCGGGACAAAATCGGATCGGGAGAACTCGAAATCTCTGAGCATCGGCGGGTTTGGGGGGTGTATTGGGCGCCGCCGCTCCAGAGCGTTCCGGAACGCTCTGAGAGCGCTCCGGAACGCTCTGGAGCGATTTATCCCGATCTTAGCCTTGTTTTAACAGACCTCCTACCCTGACACGTCGATGAAGGAAGGGCCTGCACGGCCGCAGGTGGCCCGGAGCCAGCCAGGCAGGGCTCGACATTTATCTAGGCCTCCTAGATTCGGGGGTGGACAGAACCCCCAACAGTGACACGTCGATTAGTGAATTGTCCGTCTTCGGTTCTCGAGAGGGCGCCGTGGCCGCTATTTTCCAGGCTGGCGCCCGCCAGGTCTGGGCCTCGGGTCGTTTTCACGAAACCACGTTTTACTAAAGGGAGGTCTGTCCATCCCCGATAGATGGGGTCGGAGTAGATGGGGTCGGAGGATCGCGCCGCATCGCCGATGCATCGCCGATGCGGCTCGATGTGGAGCCCGATTCACTTCACGCCGACGTTGCCGATGCGTCGCCGACGTCGGCGATGCATCGCCGATGCATCGCCGATGTATCGGCTATGCGGCGTGATCCTCCGACCCCATCTACTCGGACCCCATCTAGGAGGCCTCTAATTTATCGGGGGTGGACAGACCTCCTACCCTGACACGTCGATTAAGGAATTGGCCGTCTTCGGTTCGCGAGATGGCGTCGCGGCCGTCATTTTCGCGGGTCCAGGCCCGTCGGTTTCGGCCCCAGTCCGTTTTCACTGAGGGGAGGTTAACTAAAGGGAGGTTTGTCCACCGCTCGACATGCAGCGCAGGCCTAGAGGTTGCCACCAACACCAGGATCGGCGGCGTGCCTCCACCGAGGGAAGGCGATGCCGATCTCGACGGTGGTGGTAATGTTCTTGCCTCCAAGGTGGCCGACGTATTGCCACCAACGCCGAAACCTAGGATCTTCTTCCCCATGTGGAGGTACCCCCCTGTGTTGGTGTTGGTGCCCATTTCCAGACCTCCAAAAATGTTGACAGTGGGGGCCCATGCCAAGAATCATGGCGCCAACATGGCAGAACGGATTTCGTTCGTAAAAAAATTGGGCGGGCCCGGACTGTTCGGGAGAACGTCGTTCCAGATGTGGGAGTGATGTTCGTTCGGATTGTTCACCAAGAACGAAGACTACATCAACCCACGTGAAATTCACTTCGTTTTTCGCTCGCCGGTTCGGGGTTATGCATTGGCAGAAATCCACGCGAAAATCCGCTGCAGCACGTCTGCAAGGCCAGTGCAGTGACAGGAAACACCCTGCTTGCCTCCAGGTTGCCCCGGGTTTCTTGGGTTTCGATGGTTTTGTCATGGAGAGCGCGGCATTCCCACACCGAATACTTGTGGGCGGCCTGGGGTCTCAGGATAGGGTTGGGTGTCTTGCTGAAGGTGTTCTGTGGGCTGGCCCCAATTGTGACTATACCGTGTTTTGGCGACGTCGTGGCCCGTTCCGTTGTGACTTCGTTTTGCAGCAGAGGCTGGGACGAAGACAGCAGGAACGACGGCACAACGAGAACGACACGAGCACGGAAGACACCGCCTCAGGTCGAGCCCTGCAGCCGGTGTCAGGAGACGCCCTGGCGAGCGCAAGGCCGCCGATCTCTCGAGGCCGAACGATCCGCGCGGTGCCGGGGACCGACGCCCGGGTCGTCACGGCAGGAGCCCGCCCGGCCGTACATACAGTCGGAGCGCTGAGGAAGGAACCTTTTTCGTTGGGGAGGGGCTCCGTGTTCCTTAATTGTTTCGCAGTTTGCCTTAAATGTTCCTTAGGTTTTCGATGCGAAATCGAAGTTTAATTTATGGAAAATAGGGGCCTCGTTCCTTATTTAGGGTTCCTTAGGTCAACGCCCCGACTGTACATCTGCGCCTCCCTGGCCAGGGCCGCGCGGGTCTCTTGGGCCGCGGGAGTGCGCCGCTCTGGCCGGGGCATCGGCACGCGCGAGGGCAGCTGGCGCCCCCCGGAGTAGTTAGGGCACGCGCCAGTGCCGTCCGGTCTCTCCTCCGTCTTCTCGCTTTCCCGGCCCCTCCGTGGCGCGTCCTGCGTTCGCTTTCCCGGTGCAACCTGCTGGACAGGACGCTTGGCACCGGCGGGCACCGTGTGGGTGCAGGCGGAGCGAAGCGCATTCAACCAGTCAACATGCACGAGTCTTCGGAGGAGAAAAAACACAGACACAATGCATCGTCGATTTTCCAGAGAATCTGGGAAAACATGGGACCTGGGGGGAAGACAAAGACCCAGAGCAGATTGGAAACTATTGGGAATCCTGTTATTTGTGTCTACTCCGGATTCCATAACAATGGGGGGGGGGGTCACATTCGGGGGGGGGTCTGATTTGAGCTGTCTTGGAGGGTTCGGGGGGGGTCTGGGCAAAGGGCCGCCCCTTCATGGATAGCCTGGGGGGGTCCAAAACTTCCTGTCTGAGAGGGTTGGGGCCCCCCTCCCTGTTATGACGAGATCTGGAGTACTCACGTGTGTGCCCCGGGGCCCTTTTATATATATATATATAATAAAAAACATAGCCCCTTCTGTACCCTGCCCTCTCCCCCCGCGGCATCGCGCTGCGGTTCCCGCCCCCACCCTCTGCCCTCGATGCCCCTCCGCCGCCGCAACCGCGCCTCGTCCGCGGGCCACCCGGCCGCTCCGCTCGCCGCCGGCAGCCGACGTCGGGGCTCGAGCGGAACGGTGTTTTGGCAATTCCGTGCACCGCTTTCGTTTTGACTTCGGCTTGCAGCAGATGTGGAACGAAGACACAGAGACAGAAGACGGGCAGTGGAACGGAAAAAAGCACGAGCGGGTCGCACGAAGGCAGAACTGGGGATGACGAGAGCGAAACGAAAACGGAAAGCACCGTTTCAACTCGAGCCCTGGCTGATGTCGTGACCGGGGCCGTCGGCCCCGTGCCTCCGCGGGGCTCCTCGAGCCGACCCGCGCCTCCGTGGGCGCGCGCGGCCGCGGCGAGAAATTGGGCCCCCGAGCGGAGGCCCAGAGAAGCCCTCACCAGTCAAGGCTCGGGAGGGAAAGAGACACGCAGACACAAGGGATCGTCGGGCCCCAGGAAGACATGGGAAAACATGGGAAGTGGGCGGGGAGACAAAAGTCCAGAAAGTATGGGAAAGCATGGGGAATGATTTTATTTGTGTGCATTTGTTTGTGTGTCCCAGGGCCCTTTCAAAGACGTCGAAAGAAGAGCCAATGCCAATCTGGCTTCCGGCGGGAGCCTGGTTCTCGGGCCGTGCCCCACGCCTTGGGCCGACGGACCCACCTGCTCGTGGCCGAGGCCTGCCGTGGCCGGAGGCGGCCGCTCAGGAGGGAAAGAAACCCACGGACACAATTCATCGACGATTCCCCAGGAAATAGGGGAAAACATGGGAAGTGCGGGGGAAGACGAGAACCCAGAACATGTGGGAAAATATGGGGAATCCTTTTATTCGTGTGTATTTCTTTGTGTGTCCTCGGCCCCCTTGAGCCGTTCTTGTTCTAACTCTCCAGCGCGTCCCTCCTGGCAGCAGCACAGCTGAGTGCATTCCTCCCTGGCCGCCCTCACTTCACCGCCCACCAAACCACCCCAACCCAACCCGAAGGCCCTGATTTGCCCTCCATTTCCAGTTGGGGGGGGGGTCGGGGAACGTTGAGAAAACACACATGAAGCCCGTACAACCCCCAACCCGAAATTCGGGTCTTCGGGTTGGGTTGGGGTGGTTTGGTAGGTAGTCATCACTGTCGTGTTGCTGCTGCCTCTCCCTCCCGCCCTCCCTGCCCGGCGCGCCCCCGGGGGCAGCTTCGCGCGGCGCCAGCTGCCGCGCCGAAAGCGCGGCCCGCGCCGGCGGCGAGCCGGCCCTGCCCCGCACGCGTCGCTGCCGAGAGCGCGCGCGCGGGGGGAGGGGGGTTCTGCTGGAGGGGCGCGGGCGGCAGGGAGCGAGAGGGGGCTCGGGGGCGGAAGGGCCATTTCTTCCTCCGTCTCCTCCTGCCGAGCCTTCTGCGCGTTTGCCGCATGGGTTCTCTGCCTGGCAAGAACAAGTCCAGAGCAAACCTCCGCAGAGCCTTCTGCGCGGCACGTGCCGCCGCGGCCTGGCACCGGCACCTGTCGCGCGGGAGGCGCGGACGGTCGAGGTACGGTGGGGGTTCTTCCTCCTCCTGCTCCTCCTCCTCCTCCTCCTCCTCGCTATCCTCTTCCTTCTCCTCCTCATCCTCCTCCTCCTCTTCCCCCTCCTCCTCCTCCTTCCGTTAGCCGTTTTGGCTCAGGTTCTCGTCTGGGATTTGCAACAGCAGTTCGTCAGAGAGGAAATTGCTGTTGCCAGTCTAAATTGGCCCGGTGTGCAGTTTGAGGATCGCAGCCATCGCAGCATCCAGTGAGCTTGTGGGGGAGCGTTCCATTTCATGCAGTCCCGCGGGGCACCACACGTCCCAAGGCGATGGCGCCATCCTCGCGGGACCGCGCCAGCCCCGGGGTTGCCCGTCTTGCGGGCGGAACCAGAACTGGGCGTGCCGCATGCGCTGCGTCCTGCGGCAAGGACGCGCCTAGTCATTGTGCAGGCACAGCTAACATGTGTTCCTGGTGGCGCCGGGGCAGGTGGTCCACCTTCCGGGCTCTCGCCACCCCAGAGATCCGACGCACCAACAAAATTGGAGCGGGCGATGTTCGGCCGTTTTTGGTCTCTCAGACTCTGAGGGCCCTCGCCCGGCCACGGGAGCGTCAAAAAACGACCCACGACGAAGAACTGGCCCCAGGGGAAGTGGTCCAGACCTCTGGGGCCCACGCAGCAAATAAATTGGAGCAGCCCGATGTCTGGGACAGCCCAAGCTGGAGAAGCAGCTGCTCCCCCGCGAGGCCCCAGGACCGCCAAAGATCAGCGAGCGAAGAACGGTATAACATCAACTTTTCCGCCGTCGGGGACACCTGCCCCTGGGCGGCCGGAGAGTTTATACTCCTATGGTGGCACCGTAAGGGTATGAACTTTCCAGCCGCGCTGGGGCAGGTGTCCCCGACGGCGGAAAAGTTTATGTTACAACTTTCTTCGCCCGTTGAAGAGAGCGGCTCGGCAGGAAGTGCGGGCCCCCCTGGGGACGGGTCGGGCTGGCCGAGGGCCCGGCGTGGCAGAGGCTGCGAGCTCGAGGGAGAGCCGTCGGCCGTCGGGGAGGCGCCCGCGGAGTGGTGCCCGGAGCGCCCTGGAACGGCCGCGGCGCCCGGCAGATCCTCCAGGCCCGTCAGTTCTCAGAGGTCCCAGGCGTATTTTTGAGGTCGGGCACGTGTCCTCCTACAGTTGCCAGCCTCGAATGGCTAGACTCGCTTGTAGAGTTAAGGTATATTCTCCCCCAATGGTATTATCGGTAAGGTAGAAAGCGCTTTCTACCTTAAAACGGAGAATAAAAACTTAAACTCTAAAAATCCCAAGATCAGCGCAGGTGCTTGGTAGTATTACGTATGTTTGATCGTTGCGCTTGGTCGTTCGATATGTTGTGTGTTGACAGTCGCGTATATAGTTGAGGTTTGCAAAACAAGCTTGCGCTGTACAACTGGTGCACAGTGTCTCCAGCGAAGACGCACTGCACAACTTCAACGCATTGTTCGGATGTCTCAAGCGAAAACGTTGCACGTCTGGAAAGCATTGTGCGGATGTCTCGAGCGAATGCGCCCATTACAAATCTGCACTGTGGACAATTTGCCCAACGTTGCACTTAATTCGCATTCCGTGCTCACAACACTCCGCGTTTGGTGCCCCGATGGGAATCTGCTCACAACAACCCGTGCTCACGACAAGCCGTGATAACATCCATCCGCGATTGGTGGCACAGCCATCCGTGCTCACAGCAATCCGTGCTCACAGCAATGCGTGCTCACATTAGTCCGACTTCATCGTGGACAGGTGCTCACAACAATTCGTGATGTTCCAGCGTGGCACTTAAACATCCCAGTGAAACAACATCCGTTGCCCTATTTTGGTTCAAACTTGTTTAACTCTCAGTTTCACGTTTCACTCCCCACCCCGTGCTGTTCGGCGATTCCTTGGCCGGCGGGGATGGATGACGAGGTGTGTGGTGACGGCGGCGACGATGGCGCTGAGCACATGTGCGTGCCTGCGCTGCGTCCGATGCATCGTGGGCGGCTGGTCCTGGAAGGCAATTCCACAGTGTTCTTTATCTTCGGCGAGTCTGGAGGTTTGTGGTCCAAGCCGTACCGCCGCGCGTCACCACCAAGTCGGTTCGACGACGGCACGAGGCGTTTCTTCGGCGTTGCTTTGGGGAAGTGGAAGCTTCTCAGCACCGCAGCAGCTCAGCAGATTCAGGACCAACCTGGGGGCCATGGGCATGGTGATCTGATCATTGGCTCGTGTCTTCATGATGCTCGGCGCTTCCAGATATCAGGCGCATTGGTTCACATAGCCCACGCGACGATCGAGCTGGACAGACCCATCGATAGTGAAGCGCAGAACTCAGAGGATATTCTTAATTTGCTGGATCGGAACCCTTGTACGTATCACAATGACGGGGTACAGGGCGACACTGTTGGAGCATGGCGAGATGTGTGGGATTCGTTGATGCGCACATGCCCAAATGCTCCTCACTATTGCCCACTGGTGTTATGCTCGATGTTAGCTGTCGGAGTTGTTTCTATGATTCAACCTGTGTTCAATTGTGATGCTGTGAAGTGCCGCTTCAGACAGACTCTGCATTTTGGTCCGGATGCTCGGTCTTTGCGATTGTTTCGTCGACTCAACCCTCCTCGTGTGCAAGACGTTGCGCCAGAGCCAGCTCTACCTTCTCGTGGTCGGTCAGCTCGTCGGCGATTGCCTGCTAGCATCACTATACAATGGCTGGGTGTTTCTTCGACCTTACGATCACTACGGCACAGGTGGAAGTCTGGGGTTCATTGGAGTCGTCTCTTCGAACGCTGCGCTGGTGTTGAGCACGGTTCGTTGCACCAAGTTCTTCAACACATTCGTACAGAAACGCTTCGGACTGCACGGGTGCGATTAGATTGGACATGCATGGGCCTCACTCGTCTTTTTTACGGGACGCTCGATTGGCGATCCATCGACGTGTACCTGTACATAGACAGCAGCCCTCAGGGCAGGGGCTGGGAGATGCAGGCGGCAAGCTTCTTGATACGGAGAAATGGGGTCGACATGAGAAGACGAATGTTTTCGCCGCTGCTTCTGAAGCGTTCTCAGTTGAGCGCTTTCCACAAAACTGTAGCACTCGTTTGGCATATATATTTATCTTTCGGAGGCTCCGTGGACTCCATGAGGCGGTTTTGCCACAGAGTTCGCGGAATCGTGAGTGACATGGGCACGGAATATATGATATCCAAGATGAACGACGTGTTGCCAGATGTGTTTGCCATGATGGGGTACCGTCACCGAGTTGCCAGAGAAAAACTGTTATTCCCTCGGTCGCTGATTATCCCTGGATGGCGGCATAAGGTCGACGTGCTGATTCGCACAGGCGTGCACTCGCTGCGCTGGTTTCCGAGGTTTCTAACACGGGTCAAGGCGTTGATCTCTTTGTTCAGGGACGAGGACATTCGGGCCACAATTCCCCACATCCCCATCACCACTTAAAAGCAATGTAAGAACATAGGGGGAATGTTTGGGGGAGTACCAATTCGAACAATGAGGGGGGGCGTTCGATACGCACGAACGTAGACGAGGTGGCTTTCTAGGGCGGCGGGGGCCAAGGGGTTGAAGGCGAAGGAGGCGCGCGACAAGCTTGAACACGACATGGTGTAATACTGCGCCCCCCCGCCGAACCCTTCAACGTGAATCCGTGGACCACCGCCGCCCCCGCGTTCTCCTTCACCCTTCTACTCCGTGCCCTCTCCGCCCCGCCTCCGTTGTTTAGCGCACCCCCCCGTTGTGCCCCTCGCCCTTCCGCCCTGGCTGGCACCCCCCCCCCCGCGAAAACCTATAGATATAACATAAGTTCTCTGTCGGCTGGCCACGGCGGCCTCGGCTACCCTTCGAATGGATGCGACCGACTTGCGCATTCAAAAATCAGTTCGCCTGGCCCCTCGGAGGCAGCAGCGGCCTCACCCCCCCAACCCCTTTTTCAATCACACCCACCCCCAAGTCGATTGGCTCGTGACTAGAAGCACTGGGAGGACGAGGGATGAGGGGAGGGCCGAGGAGGCAGGAGGGAGAGAAAGACTGAGACGAGTGAGGAGGAGGAGAAGGAGTTTTGTTTGTTCAGGCACCGTCAGGGCATCAGAGACACCTTGGCCACGCACTGGCGAGGGGCTGGCCTCAACGGCCTGGCCGCGCTCATGGCGAACGTGTCGCTCCCTACGTTCACCGACTGGCGTTGGAAGAAACTCAAGGAGTGCTTGGACGGCCTGAACGGTTTTATCTGGTCTGTCAGGGGCCATTTCGACCGTCAGGCGTTGGGCGACGTGAGAGACCGAGCGCGGGTTGATCAAGTGCTCGGCGCGCTGGCCAGCCCATCATTTGAATACGAATTCGAGCTCATCCATTGGTTTGCATCTTGGATGGGGCGCCTGATGGCATTTGCAGGGTATTGCCCCTGCCACCCTGAGAAGTGGAACACGGGCGAGAAGTTCTCATGCGAGAGAACGGGCTGCGTCCTGGGGCTGGCCTTTGACTATTCTATGGCTGCTCTCAGGGCGGGAGTGGCCGAGGCCAACTCATGGTCAGCTGACCGATTCGGCCCTTATCCCCATCTCGCGCGGGATGGACAGGGCATGGCCAGGGCTACTCTCGCACTCGGTGCATTGAAGGTGAAGTTCCTCGATGACCTCCCGTACCTTATTGGGAGACTGGGCCAGCCAGGCATTATGGATAAGTGCCTGATCTTGTACAACCGCCACCCTCCTGAGCACCACGACTCCACGACCCTGGCTGTATTGC